CCAGGACCAGAGGGTTCTGGGTTGGAGTCCCCGGGGGAACCAGGACCTTTCTGGGTGGAGTCTGCATGTTCTCCTGTGTCTGTGGGTTCTCTCCGGGTTCTCCGGCTTCCTCCCACCGTCCAAAAACCTGCATGTTAGGTTGGTTGGACTCCAAACTGCCCTTAGTGTGAGTGTGCGTGGTTGTTGGTCCTTGTGTGTCTCTGTGTGTCCCTGTGATGGACTGGGGACCGTCCAGGGTGACCCCGCCTCTCCCCATTGGCTGCTGGGATAGGCTCCAGTCCCACCCTGCGACCCCATTAGGGAATAAGCGGTTGGATGGATGAATTGAATTGAATTTTGGTTATTTTTTATTAGACTAAATGGTTTTGTTTATCTTAGGGTTTTAAAGTACATGGTTTAAAGTACAGGTTTTTTTTTCTCATATCTCGGCCACCAAATGAAAGAAAAGCAAAGATTTATTGTTGTGCTTCGTTTTTAGATTTATGTGAAAATGAACACTTTTAACCCGCATATTGTCCTCCCATTTTCTATCTACCTTTTGGTCTCTCAGGTCAAAGTGACCCAATCTGTTGTGAAGCATCATTTTTACTTATTTTTTTAATGTTTTTTTTTTGTTTGTTTCGGGCTTTTTTTCTGATTCTTTTTGGTAGGCTTGTTTCCAACACATTAGGATCTATTATAAACTTGATTTTTGTAACATATTATACAATAAACCTAATTTATACATTTACATTTTAAATTAAACTACTTTTTTATGAGAAAAGAAAGCAGAAATATGTCATTATTTTCCACATGGTTCTCATCAACGGCAAACAGGCAGATGGAAAACTGGTACACGTCCGATTTGAGTCAGAATACTGATTTGAACATTTGAAACCATTTCAGTATTTCCTAATGACAGTAAATCCTTACACCTGTTGACTGTTCTATCAAGCATGAAGTATGAAATCTTCACATTGTTATACCTTTTAGTTAACTTTTTTCCAACACATTAGCAATTGTTTTAAATTATTTTTCATAATTTACAGTAAAATAGACCTCATGTTCGTGAAATAAGGTCAATTTATTTAGTAAAAAGAGTACAAATTCATATTGATTTTGACTATAGTTTGGATCAGAGGTGCATATGTCGATGTTTTATCACAGATGTCAGATTTTAATCAAGATTTGTGTTTCAAACCGTTAAATTTTTTAATGGCAATTATTTTTTCATGCCTGTATGGAACCATGCATGTGATTTGAGGACAGTTATAGGGAAGAGGAACAGAGTTAAGACATATTCATTCAAATGGACCAGAAGACAGAAGCGTTAAAAAGTAAGCGTGTGTGTTTACTGACTCGGAGTCTGCAGAGCTCCCTCCGCTCTCGGTCGTTTTCCTCGGCCCTCGCGTGAAGCCACGCCTCGTTCTGAGAGCGATGTCTGTCCAGCATCTCCTGCAGCTCCTGACCGACAAAGCAAACGTTTTCTGACCTGTTACTTACTTTGAATTTACGTAGAAGGGCACCCATACATGTTTACTTCAAATTCTATGTTTTATTCTCCCAACTAAAGTTAGTTGTCGTTCTGAAATATTGGCTTTACTGTATTATTATCTTTTTTGGTTTTGAGAATTGTAAAGTGATATCATCTGATGTAAAAAGTATCGATTATATCAGAACATACTGCCCCAACTCTAATGTACAGTAATGAAAAGCAGAAATTGTGAATTTATTTCACTATGTTTATGACATATGACATACCTGCTGTCTTCCGTAGTCAAATTGATTATTTTATAGCATGAAAAATAGGATTATTGGACTATATTACACAATTCTATTTGATTTGTTTCTAGTGCATTACCACAAACTATCCATTTTTACAAATATACAGTATAATAGACCCATTTATTATGGCTAATTAAGCATAGGAACAGTAGGTATTGTGTATTCTTCTGACTATATTTAGGTTCACAGGCACATATTTGATGTATTATCCAGATAAAATAATAATGGGGTATACTATTGAACCATCCAGGGTTTTTTTGTGTTGAGGACCTCAAGACAACAGGAGGGTTAAAAACAGGCACATCACGAGCTTGTTAGATTAGTTTGAGTTTAATTTGAGGTTGTCAAGATCTGATTAATTTAAAGTATAAAGGTATGATGAATTAAGAACGGATGATGAATTAAGAATAAATGATAAATGGTATATTTTCTGAATATAAACCACAGTAAGTTGGAACAAATAGATTATTTCATCCTGATTTGTTTTTTATGGTTAAGACAGTCGTAAACCTGTTGCTGTTTTTGTTTGTGAGCTTCATGAGCTTCTCTCTCTTTTTGCAGAGCCACAGCAGCTTTGGACAGCTCTGACTTCTCCCTAGGAAAAAAACAAGATAACACGCATATTTTCAAGAAAATCGCTTCTTAGCCTCAGTTGAATTAAGACCATTTGTAAAGTATAGAATATGAAATTTTAACAAAGCAAAAACAGATGTGTGTGCAGCATTTACCGATCAAGTTTGTGAAACTCCTGGTCCAGCAGAGAGAAGGCGGTCTGGATCATTTTCATGGCCTGATCTCGCACCGCGCTGAAGTCTCTGTGCACACACACCTGCAGCAGGAAATGAAACAGCAGGTTTCTAACTCAGCAGCAGGGAAGCTTTGTACATTCTACATTTTAGTATTTGGACCTGAGCATCTTAAAGGAGGGCGTGTTTGTGTCACCTGTGCGTTAACTGTTGTGTTTCCCAGGATGGATGGAGGCAACTCACTCAGTTCATAGCGAACGTTTGGGACTTTAGTGGGAGTGAAGCTGTTAACGGTAAAAACCAGAATGAAACCGAGGCTTTGAAAACCGAAAGATGAGAATCAAACGGAGTGTGACTAGTGGCTGAAACTGTAAGCGCACACACACACACACACACACACACACACACACACACAGACACACACACTGATATGAACAGAAACACTGGTGTGTTCAGAGGCTGCTGACCTGTGGCTGACGCCCTGGAGACCAAACTCTGATAAAATCTCCTTCATCACTATTGGAGACGGGGGAAAAAGTTCACACATTCATTTGCATAAAAACCAGTGGCTTTGTTGTATCTTAAAATATCTACACTGTATTTGTATATTGTGTTTCATTGTAGGTTTAATACTAAATACATTTATTTGATTTTCTTTTTCGAAAAAAGAAAAATTAACATTAGGGGAATTAAATATGTAAAGATGCAATTTATTTTGATTCAATTTATATGGCGGTAGTTCTGAATTTACCTAATGAAAATACAGTTAACACAAGAAGTAAATAAGTTCAGACCCAGTAGAATTTAAAACTGTCTAATTCCATCCAAATGTAGTCCAATTTGCCCAAATGAGCTCCATTTGAATTTAGCGGTTATGCGGTTAAACTGTATTTGAAATGATTGCAAATAATTGAGAACCAAATGGATATGTGGTGCCAAACTCACCACCTGCTGTTAAATCAAAAGCAAAACAGTTAAAGCACCACCTTTAGGGGTTTCAGATGGTTAGTGTACCTGGTTGTCTCTCTGAGGGGTTGATGAGCTTCATCACTTTCAGGTCGTTGAAATCTTGCTCTTCATTCCTGCCTCCAAACACATACAGCTGTGAAACAAAACATAAATTATATTTCATATTTGGCAATCATGCAAATGTCTCATTTAAGATGTGTTTGTGCTGGTTGGCTGACGTGGCTGTGGAGGATGAAGGCGGTGTGGGCGTGGCGGCGGGCCGGAGGAATCCCCACATACAGAGGAACCTTCCACTTCATCTTTGCTGGTGAGACACAGACAAATCTCCTCACTCTTCTGTTTCCGTCACATGATCAGAGCTCTGCTTTGCTGTGCGGTTCCACAGTTTTTAGGACTCACCGATACTGAGTTTGTGGATTTCGTTGGACGATGTCACTGCGCCGTTCTCGCTTTTGCTTTTGCCACCGAACAGATAGATGTCCTAAAAGGAATGAAGTTAGTTATTTAAAAACACTTGTTCCATATTCCATCTCCATGTTATTGTTCGGATCGTTCTTAGAGCTCAGCTTTGCCATATTTAAACAAATACAACAGTATTTACTTATAAAATTAAAGTTAAACTCAACTTCCTGGCCCACACAAAACTGATTAAATTGTTTTTGCCTTTGTAGATTATTAATGAGCCACTGCTTTCTGATTATGAAATCTAGTTGTGGAAATAATGCAAATATTATAAAGTTTAGTCAGTGTGATCAAAATCCCACCCAAAAACCCTTTATTTCCCACCCAGAAACGAAGGACTGGTCTTTTTGTGTTGGCATCCTCTAGTGGTTTAAATAATAATGGCACGTAAAATCAGAAGGTGAGCTGACTTTCAGACGTGAAGGCTGCTGGGTTCACAGAACGTCAGATTGAGATATTTTTTCAGATCCAGTTCCACACACATCATCTGTTCACTGTATGAGGCTCCGTGCACCAAGCCGTTTGCTTCCAACTGACACAAAATCCACTCAGTCATCACTTCCTCCAAAATGAAATCAATCCCTCTCCCAGTCGATAAGCAGCGCTATAAAATGAACCAGTAACTAAAACAAACTTATGAAAATACAACTGCTAGTATGTTTAACAAAACAACCACACACTCCATGTTCTTTTTAAAAACATTTCTAATGCCTAAACAGTCACCTTTCCCAAAAATCAGATGATAAATGTAAAATAAAAGTAAATAAAAGGGTCTGTAATTATTCAATTTATGACACATTATTAAATCATGTAAGCTGCTAGAGACACTTTGAATGATGGGAAATTGTTTTCTAAATACGTAATTGGAATAAATGATAATTGGATTATATAAAAAGAATACTATTTTCATTTTTATGACTAGGTTTTAAAGTTAAAATACTGTCAAGGATGGCATTTTACACAAATAAAGCAGAATAATAGTATCCAACCTATTGATTATTGAATCGTTCAAATACAGTTTCTCTGAAGCATGTTTGTGTGTTTCACCTTATCATGATGTGCGGTCAGTGATTGTCCAGTGCAGGCTGCAGGTGATTCTCCTTTCACTTCCCATTTCTGCCACAACAGATTCTCTAAAAACAGACACCGGGGCAGAGTTCAGAATCCTCTAGGAATACTTCAAGTAAAAAAGGCAAGATAAATAAGAGTCCGTGAAGTAAAAGACTTTCATCCATCTATTGTATATCTGCTTATTCCAAATATGGAATATTCCAAATATCTCACTGTGAGGCAACTGTGAAAAAACAACCTAAGAATACAGCAATTAACCAGGATGTTATTTTAATCCCAGGATTAAAAGGAGCACGCTTCTCAGAAAAAGTGGTTTACGAAGGAAATCTGAATAATTCCATGCTTTGTATTCTGAGTAGTCAATTAGCTAAAAAAAAAACTTG